CGATCAACTCCAGTCCATTCAATTCATTGTTCGCGCCTTCTCCATTTTTAGGTATTTCTCCGCGTTAAATATTGAATATCTATTTTCTGAGTAGTCTCGTGTTCACAGCTTTGTGGATTGTGTGGCTATTGTCCAATGCCACTACACTACTCTCCCACCAGAATCAACGTGATGTTGGTTCGATACCAAATTGGATGGGATCGTCGCGCGCCGGAGGTTACCAAGGATAATAAGAATCCTCCGGGTATTGGTAAGCTGAAAGATAAATCAAAAAGAAAGCGGCAGCATCTGGTCGGGAAATACATGTAATAATTTTAAAATATCTGCCTTCATGCTTAAAACGCTTGAAATGAAAGTTTGGGTGAAGATTATTTGAACTATAAAAAATGAGATTATAATAATAATAATAATAATAAAACTATGCGTGTTAATAACTTGACTTATAGGTAGTAATTATTTTGTGTTTAGAAATATTAAAATAATGAATATTGTAGAAATGTCAATATTGGTATTGGTTTTGGTTTAAATTATGAAATCGGATAACGATTATGCCGGTAAGTTGTCCATAAGAGTTGATTTCCAATTGCATCTGTATCAGTAGGCTAACTGAAGGAACAAAAGTATTACCATGGTAAAGAATTCCAACTAGTGTTCCAGTTAGTTTGATACGGTTTATTTAGTTACGGGGAGATTTTCTCAACCTCATTTTTACTTGACCGTGATAGAATTTGGTAATACTACTAATACACATGAATGGTTACCAAAATAAAATTTAAATACGTGAGTGATGATTATATGAATTTTGGACAGATAGCTAGGAACAAATCGCTAAACATGAGTGTGTTCGTAAGAGACATGCTCTGGACTCAATGTTCTGATCTGCAATAGACTATTTATTTATATTTATACTTGCTGGCTGATTGGGCATACAAGTTAGTTGCAAGTATGCAGTTTATCATAAGGCGGAACACGATTTAATTGAGATATAGTGGTTACAAGTTATTAAAATCAGTTAGGCCTGTGTCATATTACGAAGTGATGTGATGCTGCAAAATGTATTTAGCTAAATAAGTTTTTACAAGATGATTAACAGTGAGTGATGCTCATGTGATTATCAGGGAGAACATAAGTTGTAACCAGGGGGAGTACACTCCCAACTCACGTCTATGATAATGGCTTGAACCTTAGTCAGTGTTGGGGTAAATTCGACATTGATGTTTTCAGTTTGCAGGAGATTTGCTCGACTGCTTATACTGATTATTTGCATGCATGATTGTGTCGCTAAACCATCAATTAGACTGACAAGGTTTTGAGATATTTATTGAATGAGCAACTGATAGAGAAACATACTGTAATCATCTGTGATGGATAAAGATACCAAGAAAACAACACCATTTAATGGTAATTATAAGTCAATTTGTTGACCGATTTCGTTAATAGTTTTATTAATTTTATCAGTCATATTACGTGATTGTCAAGTTATGACAATGCTTTATGACGATATCCTGAAACTATTAAATTTAGCTAGTTATAGTGTTGACTGAGGATTAGTCAGTGGAAAAATAGGTATTGTTGCTTTAGGTGATTCGAAATCATCAGAAACTTATAACGTTAAAGAATCCGAGACGCCTAATTTAATTATAAATTTCAATTCAGAAATATTCGTTTAGTGTTAATTCTAGCAGGCTACGGAGTTTTGATTTTAAACGTTTGTTTAGCCAACAACTACCTGATGATTTAGTTATTTTACTAGTGCAGTTGACAGTACCTAAATTTTTAATCTTATTATCTAAACTATGTTCGCATTTTAGGCTGCTAATATGATAAACTAATCCATAAACCCAAATACGATTAGCAACAACGACTATGATGGGTTTATCGATAAATGTTAAAGGCGATCCAGATGATTTCTAAATTTATAAGACATGGAGATATAGTGTAACGTATGTATGGGCCAGGTTAACATGACCAGAAAATAATTTTAAAGTTTAGACTGCTTGTGAAACTTCAGGCAGGAATATGATGCGTTATAAACATTCCATAAGAAGTTACTTCATTTAGCCTAGGGACACTTACAAATATATAGCAAAAGGAACCGGAAAACATATACATGTTAAGTAAAAAAAAAATCATCCAGTAAAATAGTTGAACTCGCCTGGATTATTTTTGAAAATTAGATTATTCAGTGGACGACATATATAACGTCATTCGTGAGGAGTAGTAATGATCCAAAAGCATCCAGAATAAAACATACAGTATGGCAATCACTTCCAGGGTGCTTGATGCTGTTGAGGTCTTTGGGACTCGCTCTGATCAGAACAACTGAATGAATCCAGATAATTGTGTGTGCCATCTAAAATGAACTTATGATTGCAGAAAACTTATAGCTGGAACTCACCGTATGTTTTTGGAGTAGTCATCCTCGTTGTTTGGCAATGGAACTCGAGAATATGAAATTAGGCAGGCAGTGGTCAGAAGAAAAGATATTACAGGATAGTGCATCGTTTAAAACAGGATGAGGTGTTAAGTGAAGGAACACTGAGAATTAGATCCAGATAACTATTTAGTCCTTGATCGCATTGTTAGTCAATGTATATTTACGCTATTTACAGGTCATATTTGCTAGAGCTTGATGTTTAAACAAGACTATGTCGCTGAAGCATGTAAATGCTATTACAGCTTGTTAACAAATCATCAAAGCTAATTAGTTAATATAGACGACCAGTTTTTATTATCGATTGAGCTAGTTTGTCATGAGGACTAATCAATATAACATTACGATAATGCATGTGAGCATTAATCAGAGGACTATTGGAATACAGGGTTAACATAAATATAAAATCGATCGAGAAAGTTGAAGTGGAAATAAGGATTAATAATAATAGGTTGCGTTTCTTTAGTTGGGCTCACCAATGTAGGGTTATGGTCTAATATGATATTAGTACTGCTCTAATAATAGACCTAATCCTAAATTTGTAGATTCGTCATGATATAACTGCCTAATCTATAAGATCTTACGTGGAAGTCACACCATCGACTACGCCAACTCACTGTATCGTATCAATTACCAATACATGATGGAGAAGAAGGTTAGGTTAGAGAAGGAACAATATATTTAATATGAATAGAGACCACGCCTGCATGGCCGAGCCATGCCACTCGATCAACTCCAGTCCATTCAATTCATTGTTCGCGCCTTCTCCATTTTTAGGTATTTCTCCGCGTTAAATATTGAATATCTATTTTCTGAGTAGTCTCGTGTTCACAGCTTTGTGGATTGTGTGGCTATTGTCCAATGCCACTACAGGTTTACATAGAGTAACCACACCTTCATGGCCATGATTTACCATGCCGATCAGCACGTTTTGACTTTTTCCGTGTTAAATACAGAATGTCAACTTTCTCAGTTGTGTTCAGCTGGAAGATCGTTTGCTTAAGAGCCGATATCACTACACTAATCTCCCATCGGTATCAAAGTGACGCTGTTCTAATACCAAATCCATGAGCCGGAGATTATCAAATGAACAATAAAAACTCTTCGGGCACTGATATACTGAAAGATATCGCCATAATGTTAGTATGCAGTCTGTCAGACCTTAGGCGGTAGTCACATCATTATCCACACTGGTTCATCCTATCGTGACAGTCAGTAATTTGCCGTTTATGACTTCTGAAAAATACATATTGGGCTAGTAAGAGAATAATATGTTTAATCCCAAAACCATGTGTTTATGTAGGGTGACTACATTTACATGGATGAGTCGTACTACACTGATTCAGCGTTTGTGCGTTCAACATTTCTGAACTTCTATACTGTGGCAAATTTTGAATGTAAATCTTACCAGGCATCATACGTTGGGCTTCAAGGATCATGTGTTTGAGAACCAATAATACTACAAAGACAAGGACTAGTAATTACGATTCATGTTCCAATTCTACGTGTGTCGGCTTTGCGACACGTTGTACAAGTGAACACCGAATAATGGTTGGCAGCAGGCTACCGTCGAAATATCTACCTTGTGTGATAGGCTCTATCCAATTGATGTGTGATGCGTTGAAGTCACCAACGACGGGAACACAGTTAGCCTTACTTGAAGTACATATATGAATTAAGATAAAGTCGTCGATAACACAGCGTGGACGTCGACATATTCCCACAATGGTCACTAATCCGTGTTTAGACTTAACTGTAAAACAAGCCCCCTCGCATCTAATATTATAACGCCCCTCTGGTGTTCCCCATTGTACACGAAAGGTATCTTTACTAATTGACATTAATCCTCTTCCCTTGCCATTTATAACTCGATCGCTTTTAATACAGGTTATCCTGCAATCATTGGAGAGCTGTCTACATCTATGATGAGCCAGGTTTCTGTGACAACAATTATATCAGGACTTAGTTCATCCACCGTCAAATCTAGCTTGGAAGTTTCATTTCTAAAACTATGAGTGTTAATGTAGCACATATTTAAGATGTCTGGACGATCACTCGTTCTACCTATACAGGACAACATATGTAAGTGGCCGGCTATAAGTCGGTACACATTTTTTGAACGTATCTCTTGCAGTCGTCACGCTGATTATTGTCTGCAACAGGGAAGATGCACAATGGTCGAGCGTACCGATAACTTTGGATGATTATCACAACCACTGCAATGTGGATAAAATAAGAAAAGTTCAAACAGCAATGCATAAATAAACACAGATACAAGCAAACAACTTCTACAGTCGACAACAATAATACCACAATTTAAATAACATTTTGAAGAATTGACTGGTAGCAATAATTGTTTGCAAATCAGTTCTGAGTTAGTAATTTCTACATGAAATTCAGTTAAGTGGAAACGATGATTGTTCGAAAACGCAGCCAACAGAAGGGACTTCCAAATCTTATGCCTATTGACTTCGATGGGTTATTCATCTTGAAAAAAGTAATTTCTTGAAATATTTTTCTTCAACAATTTGTTTTATTATGCAACAGAAAGTTTGTTGTCAAGGCTATATTGCATTTTTCTGTCCGCGCGTTGTTGCTGATGGGCGACTCTGGGGATCTAAATCTGACATCAGATGAGATCACTAAGCTGAAAAAAGCATTTAAAGACCCTGAATTTCAGAAACTATTCAGAGAATATGCGGAAGAAATATCAGATCCTGCTAACAAGAAAAAGTATGCTTATGGTGACACTGTCACCAAGAGACCGCTTATTTTTAACTATTTACTGCTACTCTCTTAATTCGCCACAGTTGATTGTTAAAATTTTCAACGTGACAGGCGGTCGTATGTGCTTGGTGAGATTGATTCCTCATTATGAATTTATTGAGCTGCTAAATTTCCGCAAGAGGAACCAAATAGCTGGAAAGGCTTTATTGAATGAAGAACACCAATAAGGGGAGGTTGGAAATTTACATGATTTCCAAGTCATATTTTCATGTTTAGGACAAAAATAATAGTCCAGTCTGTCATTGCTCATCACTACTAACATTTCGTATTTACGAGCATTTGATACAAGCAAGTTATGATTTGTCCATTTGTTGGCTTTGTTTTAGCATAGGGACATTTTACTGCCATTGAAAGATTGGTGTAACTGCATACGTAGCCCTCCTAAGTTCACTTCCCCTGAGTTAATATTCCAGCTGTTCTGATCAGCCTTATGAGTTGTGCTTGGCGTTCTTTGTTATCAGTTTCAATCTTATTTGATATATACTTTCTTTTTAACATATGACCAATCACCGATCTCAATCAGATATTTTCGGTAAAATATTTTATTAGTCAGCTCCTCGAATTAAGTCATATCAGCAGTGGGTTCATTTGACACGCAAAGTCGATCTCATATCCTAGAAAATGTCGATCGCAGTGTTATTCTAAAATGAACGTATGCAGCCTATTTACTAAGTATTGGAGGTTTCCTCACGTCAAATGTAGGTGATTATTCTCGAAGTGTTTTTTACCGCATTCCAAGTGATGTTAGCAAACAACCCTTTTATCAATCAGAAAAGAATGTAACTTCTGGTTTTTCCTGTATCTGAATACCGTATAACCCTCAGTAGTGGTATACTTCTTGTCACATAGTGGTAATCATATTAAATCGAATCGAGTAGTTTATTCAATTTAATCAACACGTGTTTTCAAAACAACTGACAATTAAAATTGTTTTTAACGATACTCGACTAATCCTCTCTACATTTTGAACCTTCTAGATATGAAGACGAGATACGGATGATGGAATTAGAGCAAGGGATGGATGTTGTATTTGTCAATCCTACTCCAGGACACTGTTTGAAAACGCGTCATTGGCCAAGTGTTCCTCAGTATCTCGAAAGTGGAATCACTTTAAATGCAAAAGATGAATCGACCCATGAAAGTGTGAAGGTTTTCATAAATGTCTGCAAATCTGACAAAGTGGAATGTCCAGAAATTAAACCAATGAAAAACGATTCATCTAGACAAGGAGAGAGTGGTGTTTATTGGAGTCTTCCTCATTGCTTCACTCCACCTCGTGAAGATATTGACAAAGCGAAAAAGCATGCAATGGTAAGTTCGTTTACATAGTACTTAGCTTTCTTAAAAAGAACAATATTAGACACCACTTATAACTTTCGTGACTTTTACGTTCACTATAACTAGGTTTATGATGTGGCATTCAATCCAAAAGCGTTCGAGCTAGCTAAGTCATCCATTGCTTTGAGAAGATTGTTAGATACAACAGCAGTTGATAGTGTGCAGAAGCAATATAATTTGTGCCTTGGAAAAACATTCTCACAAGCACAACAGTTATTCAGTTGCAGAAAAAATAGGGAATCAAAGCATTCTCTAAATGGGCCATCCCCTACTGATTCCGTTGGTGAGGACTGTTTACTCAAGGCTGTTCATCTCTTAAAAGGTGTGCCCTACAAAGGCGTTTCTAGACCGACAGTAATCAGGCGTCGCCGTTCAGATTACGAACAACGCCAAGCTGAGATAAAAAAACGGGAAGCTGAAGATTTAAAGTTGTGTAGTTCTGCAGAACAAAAACAAGCAATCAAGATGTTATCCTCTTTTCGTAATTGTGGTAATCCTGAGGGTTTGTCCGACGCGGCTAGTAAGAACGAGGGTAAGTTCTTAAACTTTAAAAGCCTTGTTTTGTGGTTGAAGGCCCTTTTTTTATTCGTTCAAATTGGAGTCCGTTCTTTAGTAAATTGTTCTTTGACTACACACTGAAGAATACATTAGTGATTAAGAACCGAGCGCCTGAATTAGTAGAACGTGATATAATATGTACATATGTGTATACCGTATGACCTAAGTCTTTTCAGTTTATGATATGCTAGATAGCATGGTGCATTGACCGATCTTATCCATTGGTGAGTGGTATAGAATAGTATTAATAACTATTGAATGCATCTGCGTCATTATCACTTATTTATATCTGTGTCAGCGGGCTTTCTTGTACTCGTTCTGGAATCTTTACAATGATGGTGGGACTTTCACAGTCAACGGAGTCGAACACTGATGGTCGTGAGATTCTGTGGTAGTGTCTCATTAAGAGGTGTACCAAAAAAGTACATTAGCCTTGCGCAGGCTCTCTATTTGAAAACTACTGGTCGAGTCAGAACTTATGGTGAACTGTCATCGGAATTTGTTCCTTCAAGTGGTGTTCGTCGGGATTGTCCACTTTCTCTATTTTTATTTAACTTTGACACAAACATGCTTTTAGAGATAACACTCATCGTCTGATTTTTCAATTGATCTTCTACCAGGTGATTCACTTGACTTAGAATATGTAAATGATATAGTTCTGTTTAATGAATACACTGAAAAAATCCTGTCTTCTGACCACCTTAAGGAAAAATCCAAGCATGTTTGAGATGTGGCTGTCTCCCCCAAATTTAAAATGTTAGTTCAGGATTGGTTTGGGTCATTGTCTCAATTAGTGATAGGGAATGAAGTTGTTGAACGCATCGACCACTTCACTTATCTCGGAATTCTCATCAGTACTGATGGTCTGGTGCCTGACGAAATTCCTGAATGGATTTAGAAGGTTCTGTTGGCTTTTGCCAACTTGTGTCACTTGTGGCGTAAGCGAAATGTCAGTCTGCCAACCAAAGGGCGAGTTTACTGCGCACCAGTTCGTTCCGTTTTACTTTACGGGTGTGAAACAGTCATTAGTAATAGACGATATTCATGGGTTACTGGTATTTAGTCACAGGTGTATACGAAGTACTGCTCGTGTATTTTGGGACCACGGAATAAACAATGCATGGGTTAGGAATGGAGTATTAGGTAATGATGGAAAATCGATTGTCGAGGCAGTAGATATTTATCATCTGAGGTGGTTTAAGTTTTCTCGAATCGTATTTTTGATGCCTAGTCTTTCATATAACCACTGATAATCTTATTACCATTCTGGGATTTTACCTGACGATTTCATCTCTCTTTGCTAATGGAGTATGGCAACTTGAACCGATGTACATAAGTACTAGTTTCTACGTTATGACTGACTTTTAGGATAATTAAAGTGGTCGACGTACTCAAATAATTTACTCTCTATAGCCAACCTAAGCTGATCAGCTATGAAGTAGCATCTTACGTCGTTACTAAATGTTTTCAGACTTCAATTCGTTGTATTAGTCACCAAAACGAGCTATATTATTTATTGCACTAATCAGTGATATACCTATTTGAGTAGTCCTTAAAAAAGTGAGATAAATAATAAGCTGCCTTTCGTAACATACACTTGATAACTATCAGTCTTAAAGTTTAGAAGTTTCTTTGTAATATCAACATGCTAACTTACACAGAAGTCTGACTCGCATTTTCTGTTAACTTCTAAAGATATATAAAATCAATCTCTCGCGAATTGATGCTTAATAACACTGGGTTTTGTTTTCATTTTCAATACTTTGCTACGATTTGTGAGTTGTTTTTCAAAAGTATAATTAGATGATGGGTAACTTGAAGGAATGGTCAGAAGTAAGTTACACAGTTGCTTAAAGTGTTCTGTTCAGCCTTAGGGTTTACGTCACGTTTTTACTTTGTAGTACCCAGAATCAATCAGTATGAGTCCTCATGAGTTAATTATTTACGACTAAAATTTAAATTAGTATTGGGATTTGTGAAGATTGTAGTATTTTCACAGTTTAAATCACTTATTGATCTATGCTAGACCACTATTAAAAACCAGGAAGCACTGGACGGCTATTTCTTTCTAATACGGGCTTCCTTAGCAGTGCGCATCCACGATTGCGCACATGGGACTCGAAGCCAGAATCTTTCACTGAGTATTCATAACAGCAGCTAACGGCGAAATAATTCCTGAACGTTTATCATGTTAATGATGACTCCCCAATTGAAAAATATCTTGTCTGAGGTTAGTTTTATTCATAAAAAAATTGTTTATCGCTTCAAAAAGTACTCAGAAGATGCAAAGCAAAATTATCTAAAGAAATTTACAACAAATAACTCATCGTATATCTTGTCATAACCAGTTTTGCTAACCGATATCTCTGATATGATATTTCAAATATTTTCAGTTCAAATATATTAATTCTAATAGTCTTATATCCATTAACCTTTACTTTTGGTCTCCGAGTTTTAATAATCTTAAATGTATAACTTAAGATTCAAGTAATTTACCATATTCTGATATTTACAAAGTTCCTTCCCACTAGGTCGAAGATTCAGTAAATAAAGACTTTTATTAACTAACTGCACGGGTTAAAGGTTAAAGGGCTGGCTTCTTCGTATTACACCGGTAGACATTATCAACATAGAGTTTGGCACAGATCTGCTTTGCCCCAAGTTTATGTACCCAATTAGCATGGCGATATAAAAATAACAGAACGTACCAAAATAATTTAGTAGCAATTATAAGGAGAAAGATTAAACCTTGGGAATATGTGTTGAGAAGACAGATTGGAAAGACATGTATGGAGAGACAATGTAATTCAAGATCGAGAGGAAAATAAAGAGTGAATGCGTCTGCGCCTTTGCAAACAATTTTGAGCCATGTTACCCAGAGTCTTCAAATCACTGGTCGCGATCATCACACGAACCCTAACCAGGTAGTCTTCATTTATCAATATAGATCATACCAACAGTCAGTGACTTCACCGACTGATGCCACATGTCGGTTTAGCCGCCCCTAGATAAAAACATATTTACATCATTACTAAACACGCACTGAAAATCAACACTGAAGTTTCGAAAATTTAATAAGCATAAACTGCCACAAACTATCTATAAACGTGAACAAGTTACATTTTGTGGTGCAGTGTATATTTACTATGTTGTTTCTGTTCTAATTCTAGAGACTGTCAAATCGAATAAAATAAGTACACCTACTAAACCTGATTATTCTATAACATACAGTTCAGATTTTGACCTAAGTAACTGTCGAAATTCTAATGATGTGAATCCTTTACGTCCACCCGATCGTTTAAAAATCAATGTTAAATTGCCTGGCTTAAGTTCCTCTTCATGTGTTGACTTGGAAGTGACAGAAATGCACATACATTTGAGTGTAAGTTTTATAAGTTTAATTATTTTTAAATGATTTTTACTGCACCTATTTTCCTCTCTTCTCTATGCGCATTTTTCTATCCTAATTATCTCACTGCTTATCTTGTATAAATTTTGAGCAATAAAAAGTTGAATGTATATAGCTTTTTTTGCACGACTTGAAGGCTAGTTTGTTGGTCAAGACGTTTGATTTTCAACCGCGAGGTAGCAAATCCGAAACCGTGTTCTACTTCGGTTAATACTACTGGATAGTATCAATAGCCGTCACATGAAAAGGCGACTGGGATTTGAGTAAAGAAATCTTCAGTGAATTACTGAGCTGTGTTATATTAAAAATTAATTATATCTGTAATTAGCCGAAGCTGTACAGATCCATTTATATTTATCCAACGAGTCATTCACAGAATCTGACTAAATCAATGACTCTGACGGTAGCGAATAACACGAATTTTTATTTCTCGGTTTCCCATAGGCTGCTTGAAACTTAAAAATAATATCAATCATTAGTGTATATAATTTATACCATAATATTGGAGGATTTCTCATCAGTAAAGACTAATAAAACAAACAATAAATAGTCAAGAATTATGAGCGACGTTTAAATGCAAATATTTAAAGTTACTATGGGGTTGTGGAGATTGTTGAATATCATTAAGACCATAAACCAGTCTGAGTTAGACCATTATCAAAAACCTAGATGCACAGGACTGCCGTCTCGTTTTAATTCGAGACTCCTCATCGGTGCGCGCCCGCTACCGTGGACCTCTGGTCACGCGCGAACGCTTAGGCTTAGACCACTGAACCGGGATCCAGCAGAGTTAATCTCTAACTTTAATCAGCCCCTTTCATTAAGCAACCATCTTCTATTGTCTTAAGTGGATAACTACCTGATACCCAATACGGTTAAACTCGGTTATTAACGGCTTCTCACTAGAGCTCCGGTAATTTCCTCTCGAAACTAGTCACTAGTAAACACATGATAATTTTAAGTATAGGGTTGTAGAAGTTGTTGTGGTCTGGGGGTTGTGGGTCCGCGCGTAAGACCGAAGGTCCTGGATTCGATTCCCACGCGTGGAGTCGTGAATAAACACTGATCAGGAGTCCCATACCAGAATGAAACGGATGTCCAGTGCTTCCAGGTTTTCGATGGTGGTCTTATATCAGTTCATGATTTTAATCGATTATTTATAGGTTAAAGGGACTCTATGAATATATAAATACTCTAAAATAAAAACTGGAAGTAATGGACCACAATTGTTTATAATTGGAATATGCGGTGCTTAGATGGGGTTAGTGGGCATGAAGGATCCACCTAGAAGAGATAGGAAACTCTAGATTCAAATCAATGGTGGGCATAGCCTCCAAGATTATGAGGAAACAAACGGCGTGTGGACATATTCATTGTCATTACTTGCTTCCATGAGACCGAATCTCCCAAGGTTGCTCAACTGGCTGGTGGACTAGACATGTACGTCAAAGGCTTGGGGATTGGTCCACTGAGAGAACGTCTCGTCTCAGTGTGGGTGCCCCAGAGGTATCCGGGCCCTCACAAATTCCATGTGGCGTATAGGTATTTTTGATGCATCTTTGTACCAATGTTTATGCGTCTAAATGAAATATTAGTGTTATATTTATATAATGCTTAAAACATGAAATAAAATAAAGTTGACTAACCGAGCATCGATTGAGTAAGTTTGAGTTAATAATTACCGTTATAAAGAGAAAAAGGTGCGTAATAAACATCTTTATTAGGATGTGGGTTCGTAGAGATTGTAGTAATTTTTAATAGTCGGATTCACAAGTCTATTCTGGATCAGTGGAATCCAATCCGTGTCGAGTGGAAACAGGCAGCTACCTCAGACAATGGATGAAGGGTTGAGTATGATTATGGATTGATTGAGCCTAGACATTAACACCGCTGGATACCGACTCAATGGTCTAAAGGCTAAGCGTTTGCGCGCACTCGAGGCCGAAGGTCCTGGGTTCGAGTCCCACGTGCACAGTCGTGGATGCGCACTGCTAAGGAATCCTATATTAGGACGAGATGGCCTTCCAGGTTTTCAGTGGTGTTCTAGCATAGATCGACTCATGATTTCAACTATTTATAAACATTTATCAATGAGGTCATCATGACAAAGCAAGATTGATAACTGAGTCTTTTTAGATGTAAATATTTGTTTTTAGTTTTCTTACGTTAACTGCTTCAGTAAAACATACTAAGTCTGACCTTCTTTGTTTATGAATTATCTCGAAGCCACTGTTAAGTAAATGGCACTCAATTGCACTACTGAAAAATTGTGCACACTAACAGAATTTGTAGGACATTCACAGAGTGATTTATACTTGAACACTGCAATGTATTCTCTCTATACTCTTTTGTATCATTGTATAAAGGTCGTTCACTACGTAATGTTGAAACATTCCTAATAGTTTACTAGGAAACCAGCAGATTTCCAGGTATTCTTTAAAAACTCTTTGATCCTTAAAAATGTCTCATATTACTAGTTGTATTGTAATATATTTCGGCTTAATTAAAACCCAGTTGTGTTTTACTCCCAAACTACTTTATAAATAATTATTATGTCGTTAACTTATGTATAACCCGTATCAAATTGTTGAAAACTGTGCCGTCTGAATTTTTTGGTGGATTCAGTATTTGAAGTATATTTTGGTTGTTGCCATTGAATGAGTAAAGTTGAGACGTTATGAATATGAGATCATTTATAAGGACTAGACACGCATGACATTGATCGTCACCCAGTGATCAATCAATTGTGATTACATCTCAGTCCTACAGGAGGTCGGTCGCGGCTCGGATAGCTCAGTGATAACGTCTCTGACTGTGAAGCTGGGTGACACGAGATCGAATCCGCCAAGGAGCACCAGTTCCCTCATGATTACAGGTACACCTTGCTGACGAGTGCGAAGTAGCACGAAACCCGGGTCCAGGGTTTCCTGTCGACTACCTTCAACCACCATCTAAGATCATTTATATACACAAGCAACTGATCAAAGTATTATCGGTATATGCAAAACTAGCTTCATCTAGGTAATTTAATACTGTTTTATTTACCAAGCTGTAATCCAGTGTCTGTTTATAAAAAAAAATATATATATAAGGATACATTCAGTCTATTTCTTATGAATAGATCTGCTACTAAAGTATATATATTGAGCAATTATCAGTTATTGATAAGTCATTATTCACTTTAAAATGAATTCAATCTCAATGATACTGAAAAATTTAATCAATTCTAGAAATTTATGTTATTTAAGAATGCAAGAATGAAAAGGAAGAAAATATTGATTTACATTATCGATCCAAACTTGTTCAGTTCACAACTAAAAGCTCAGTTATAAATAGATAAATTATCAAAATATTTCATAATATGGTGTAAATATTATCCTGTTGTGACTGGATACCTCCCACTTCTCTTTTAATTGGTCTAATTTCTGAAGTTATAGCTTCTCACTAAAATGTGTAAATATTTCCCTAGTTTATGTTTATACGACATTAGTCCATCATGAAAACTATTTTCAGATGAAATAATTTTCCATGGATACTAAGTTAAATAATGTTCAAATGTTCACTAGTTATTTGTTTCGAGATGAAGTTTTTGATGTTCCATTGAGAATCTGTCACATACGAAGTCAACACAGTTTTAGAGGGGGGGAGATTCTTACAGATAAGAAAAGGATAGTAATCGCTTTGTTTCAAGAATCATCAGTTGTAGTGTTGATATCTAAGTCAGTGACCGGTGACTTTAATGCTCAAGTAGGTAAACTAAGAGATGGGGAAAGACACCTAGGTGGATCTTATAGCATCGTGGCTCAAAGAACAGATAATGGCGACCGTTTGTTGCAGCTATGTTCAGATAACCGCCTGTTCCTTGCAAATACTAACTTTAAGCATAAGGAAAAACATTTTTTAACATGGAGACCCCCTAATTCGTCCCAACGTTGGACCCAAATAGATCACATCGCTATCAGTCACCGATAGAGGGGCTCGATAGAAGACTGTCGCTCATTCTGGAGCACATACCTAGATTCAGATCATGCTCTAGTGCGAGCGCGTATTTGCTTGCGTCTTACTGGACGTAGGAAAGACGCTGCAAGGAAACCTCTTAGGGCCCTACTTAATGATAGTCAGTCTAAGAGTATATTTCAGGAATAACTATGAAAACAGCTAGGCAGCTATGTATGTGATGCCCACCCCGATGCAGCATGGAATGATATCCGAAAAGCTGTGGAAACAGCAGTGATATCTGCTAGTAAGGTAAACCAGAAGGTTAGGGAGCAACACTGGATCTCGGCAGCATCTATCCCACTGATAGATGCTCGGAAACTCATTCCACCTGGCTCTGAACCTAATGAAGGGCGGAGTCAGCTTAAGCGCAAGCTGACAAGAAGCCTACGCAATGATCGCGAACAGTGGTGGGTAGCGAAAGCAAGAGAGATGGAAAAGGCAGCGGCAATAGGTAATAGCAGACAATTGTTCAGACTTGTTAAGGAAACCGGAATTAGGAAACCGACTGTTAGCGAAATACTCTCAGAGAAAGATGGATATATTATACATTCTCAATCCAGGAGATTGGATCGATGGGCAGAACACTTTAGGGATCGGTTCAACTGGCCTTCAGACACACTTCGGTTTCCCACGATCTCCAGTCAACCTGAATGGCAAGTTATTGTAGGTCCTCCGACTCTTTACGAAGTTGAAAAAGCCATAGGAAATCTGAAGCGAGGGAGAGCTGCAGGCCCTGACAGGTTTACTCCTGAGATTTTTAAGGATGGTAGTCCAGTATTAGCAATGAGATTAACTGAGGTCTTAGGTAGAATTTGGGAACTGGACGTAATCCCATCTGACTGGTCTCAATCACTGATTGTGCCAGTTTTTAAGAAAGGACAAAAGTCCTCTTGTGACAATCACAGAGGAATCAGTTTGACTAATATAGTGTCTAAAATATTAGCTTCAATAATAATTCGACACCCAACCAAAGCTCGTGAAGAACAGACTAGAGAAAATCAGGCTGGTTTTCGACCTGGACGTGGTTGTATAAACCAGATATTCACACTACGTCAGGTCCTAGAACATAGGTACACATTCAGATGCCCCACAATGGTAGTATTTCTCGACCTTAAAGCGGCATTAGACTCTGTTGATCGTGAGGTTCTATGGCAGTGTTTGTCACTGAAAGGAGTACCAAAGAAGTACATTAACGTTGTAAAGGCTCTCTACTCGAACACAACTGGTCGAGTAAGAGCTTATGGCGAACTGTCATCAGAATTGATTACGTCAAGTGGTGTTCGTCAGGGCTGTCCACTCTCCCCATTCTTGTTCAACTTTGTCGTGGACGTACTTCTAGAGATAACACTTTCCTCGTCCAGATTTCCAGGGGTTGAACTTCTACCAGGAGGTTCACTTGTTGACTTAGAATATGCCGATGACATAGTTCTATTTGATGAAGACGCTGACAATATGCAGAGTCTTCTGACCACTCTAAGCAACAATGCAAGCATGTTCGGGATGCGATTCTCTCCCTCGAAATGCAAAATGCTGCTTCAGGATTGGGTTACATCGACACCCGAACTAGTGATAGGGAGTGAAGTAGTTGAGTGTGTCGACCGCTTCACTTATCTTGGAAGTCTCATCAGCCCTTGTGGTCTGGTGTGTGACGAAATCTCAGCACGGATATAGAAGGCTCGACTAGCTTTTACCAACTTGCGTCATTTATGGCGTAGGTGAGATATCCGTCTATCAACCAAAGGACGTGTTTACTGCGCAGCAGTTCGTCCCGTCCTACTTTATGGCAGTGAAACATGGCCGATAAGAGTAGAAAATATTCGTAGGTTACTATTATCCGATCATCGGTGTCTTCGAAACATTGCTCGTATATCATGGGACCATCGAGTAAGTAACACAGTTGTTAGAAAACGGGTACTAGGTAAGGATGGCAAATCAATTGATGAAGTAGTGAAACTTGATCATTTGAGATGGCTGGGACACGTGTTACGTATGCCCAACGACCGACTACCTCGACGTGCTATGTCCAGTGGTATAGGAGTAGGTTGGAAGAAAGCTAGAGGCGGCCAAACCAAAACATGGCACAAGTCCATGAAGTCACTGACAAGTAGACTGAGTCATGTTGGTAGGTGTAGACTGCCTGGTTGGGGACCAGGAGATGATAGCAACCGATGGTTTATTTAACGTCAGTAGTAATTTTAGTGAATTAATATCGTTTTTCCTTACGTAAATGTTTTCTTCAGAATTGCGCTAGACGTCCAAGAATACTAAGTTATTCTCGTATTTTTGTATTTGTGATTTCTTGTACTGTAGTATATATAAATTTCACAATTTTTAAAGATTCGTGAAGTAAATATAAATGGGACAAAACAAACCATATATCAAAGTAATCATATTTCAAGATAGTATAAATGACAATCGATAGCCTGTGGTATAGAAAAAACGACGGATACTCGTGATGGTATAATCTTCGTCAATGTCTGTTTGTTTTAAGGGACTTCATTGTTGTCTCTGGATTATTTTGTAAACTTTGTTTAGGGAACTTCCGTGTTCTAATAGTGTCCATATCATCAATCAGTTCCTATCCCTTGTTAATTTCAAAGCATAGTATTGACTGTTTCGGATCAAGTTATATTTTCGAATCTTATTACTCAGTTAATTTAACTCAAATATGCACACCAAATGTTTGATTTGCAGCTTAATATGCAGACTTGTATTCAACTGATCGTTCGATTTTATCTTTATAACTTAGTTTATACTATTCATTAATTTTACAGTTTACACATTCTGGATGATGTCACTTTTTTTAGTCTTTTTATTTTTTGAAATAAATTTGCAGAGTCGAAAACCAATTGCATATTTGCTTGACCTGAAATTACCCTATAAAGTGAAAGATGCTGAAGGAACAGCAAAATTTGATAAATCTACTCACACTCTATGTATTACACTACCGATTGTTAAAAACGTGGAATCAACTACTTGTAAGCCTACTGACAGTAGTATAAATGGTGATGATGAAAAAGTTGTGGAGAACGAAACGAAATCTGTTGAATGCAGTTCCACAACAAACACTTCTGATCTTGAATCAGTTACATTAAATGCAGCAACTCGAAAACGTGCACGTCGAAAACGTCGGAAACAACGAACTAAAGCAAATATTGTTACAGAAAGCTCAATGGATACTTCATCTGATGGTGGATCTTCAGTTTCAAAATGTCCTAATTTTAATCTACCCGTATCTTCTGTTGTTGCCGTTGATAAGTCTGTAACGCAAACAGAAAAGCAATCTGAGCAGTTAACAAAAACGTATGAAAAGTTGTGTGAAAATGAGAAGAACATAGAAAACGAAAACCAAATTACAACGTCTCAATTATCTACTGTTTTCAGTTCATCAAATTCCCCGGGCGTTGAAATCAAAGTAAACCAGGTTCCAAGTTGTGAAATGATTTTGTCCAAAGATAGGTAATGAATCCTATCTCTGGAGTGGTATTAAGAAATATTTCTTTACGAGTATTATTAGTAGTAGTATGGATGTGATTACTTTTGTTCGTTATCTAAGTGAATATGGCTTTGGTCGTGATAAACTATGTATATCCAACCTTCACTCACATTTACATGAGGTAATGTAGTAATTAAGGCACTAGACTTCCATCTTTTAAATTTTAGATTGTCAGGGTAGTTTACTTTTAATGATCTCGAGTGTTTTTAAAGGCCTGTGGGTGATTTTTGAGCTGCAGAATGATACTTATTCTTGAGGTATATCAAAGGGAAACCGGATCAATAGTAGTCTTGGTCACTTTAAAGCATGACCACAGAACCCAGGAGACAACTGCCTGGGACCTGTCAAAAGCGGTATTTTTGTGAGTAGCTCCGTACTTTCAAGGTCTTAATTCAGACTATAGAAATCCCTTTGGCAAGATGGGGTGTGGTATTTTGAGGGTCAAACTTTTCTAACCACACCTTTGATCGTGGTAAAACAGCTCCGTTTCGGATGCTAGTTGTCCGGGAGAAACATCTTACTAGCGTCACACTCCAGTTCAATCAGTAATACAACTTCGCCCTATAACCTTAAGTTGTTACTCTTAGTTTTACCGTTCCCTGACCAACCTACCTTGGATGTTAGGACCTAAACGAAAGAGTGTTTCAACTAATATACCGCGATTGGGTCATTACGATACGCAGGTCCGATCACCTCACCAAGGTAGTAGCTGGTATGATGTTTAGAGACACGGACTGCTGATTTGTATTGTATTTAAAACTTCAAGCGTTTCTGACTAATGTGTCCTAGATGATATGTCAATAAATTTTACTCACGCTCATAACTTTGTTCGGTGCTAAAATCCAGTTGTTGGAATCGGTATTATTTTCTTATCTCTTGTTCAGTGAGTTGTTTCTCTATCGTATTTACAGTCAACTCATTAACTCATACTTTTGATTATTATTTTATCCCTGTTATTTAATTGTAGTTTGTTTTTTTCAATGAATCAGTGACTTAACTCAATTTTTTCATCACTCAGATCTCTTGAACAGTCTAACCAGTTTCTATGTGTTTTCAACTAGATTGTAATGTTATAAAGTTACTTTTAAGATGCATAAAAATAGTGAAAGCAGTTTAATGATCTTTTTAAGCATTTCAAATAACTCCAAGTATCTTAAAGCTTCGAGTAGAGTGTTTTAGTAAATTAGTCTTTGTACTCGTGTTTACTCGATAGACTTATGCTGTTGTTAAACTGTCCTTAAAACTTGTGAGACTTTTTTTAAGAAGAAAGTTCCTTCATTTTTTGTAGTGTTGAAGATGATTGCCATTATTCTCACCGATGTGTCCTCCATACAGTCACTAAACTAGTCAGATTGAATTTACTCAAATCTTACTCAGCTGCTTTATACACGCGACATGCTATTTCTAGTTAATGTAGCATACTGTTCATTCAAAACTGATTATGTGAGCTAAAAGTTATTAAATTTATTCGTCATTGTTGTACTAAGAAAATTAATACCATCTGTCTATAAACCGTTAACACGAGCTACGTTAACAGGAAAAATTGAAGCGAGTAAAAACTGTGTTGAAATAACTAGATTAAGTACATAGATTTAATGGTCATATGAAATCACCATACTTCTAGATATGGACAAGCATCATTCTTTTCAAGATATCAATGAAGTGATTAGTAACGTTTAAATTTTGTTTCTAGAACAGTTTAAAAAATGAGTCGCTGGAATAAGCTATTCTGGCTTGCAAACTGTTTATGATGACATTATTACGACTATCATTTTGCCATATTTAAAGCGATTACGAGTTCACCTAGTCTGCGAACGGAACAAAGACTCTGTGACCAATGACCAATAAGCTACATATTCTGATGCGTCCCGGTCCCGCTAACTAGACAGAGAATTCGAAGTTTGGAACGCGGAAGTATATTCCGCAAGTATCCAAAAGCGCGAGCGATAACAACTGACACAAATCAAACTTATATATACAGCATAAAACTGTCCTTTGGAAGCGTTAAAAAATAGCGAACTAAAATATACAACGGACCAATGGCTTCAAAGATTCTCCCAAGTGGGAAATACGACGTGAAGGTGAAAAGAGCGCTTTTGGCGCAGAAACAAAGAAGTTCAAATTTTCAAAATAAATTATTTATTTATTTATTTATTTGAACACATAAATATTGGTACAAGAGAGCGCCAATATATATGCGCCACACAAAACAATGGGAATTCGAAGAGAAGTAGAAAGAAAAAAAAACTAAGGAACGCAAAAGAAAAAGAGAGTAATGACGAAGAGGTACAATCAGAAGAAATCTTTCAGGTAAAGGAGACACAACCACTTTTTATGAAGAAAGTAAAAGAAGGTTACAGCAGGATCGCCACTGGCTTCTATTCTGAGCCATATCTGATAACGTCTCTAGCCACTGTGTAGCACCATCTCTCGGACCCCAGCCAGGGAGTCGTGAAGGACCAACACAAGCCAGTCCTTTGCAGCTTTCTTTCATGCCACGACACCATGTCATGCACTGACCACCTCTCCGCTTCTTCCAACCAGTTCCAGAGTCGGCAAATAATGCACGACGTGGAATTCTCTGGGACGACATTTGTAGAACATGTCCAGGCCACCGAAGTCGGTGTTTCAAGATGGTGACACCAATTGAGTTATCATCTCTGTGCCCGAACACACGATGCCGGACCTCTGCATTACTGACATGGTGTTGCCACTGAATGTCAGCAATCCTTCGGAGACAGCGATGATCGAACACAGAGAGTCGTCTAACGTCCTCAACTCGGAGAGGCCAGGTTTCACAAGCATAGAGCAAAACTGCTCTCACCGACGCGTTGTAGATCCGGCCTTTTACAGCCAGACTAACATCACGAAGGCGCCAAAGGTGGCCCAGATTGGCATAAGCCGCTCTGGCTTTCACTATTCGTGCATTGATCTCATCACTCACACCCCCACCAGCACTTATGCAGCTACCCAGATACACGAACTTCTCGACTACTTCTATCTGTTCAGCATGCAGGTTGAGTACAGGATTAGAATCCTGCCAGTCTTGTAGAAGTACTTTGCACTTCGAAGGTGCAAAGCACATACCATACCTACGGACATTGATTGCCAACTGATTAAGTGCGGATTGCATGCCTTGGGCATTATCGCACAGTAAGACAATATCGTCCGCATACTCAAGGTCGAGAAGTCTTTCTCCAGGCAACAGATCCACACCACCATTACTTACATTCATCAGAGCTGTTTCCAGAATGTCATCGATGGCAAAGTTGAAGAGGAATGGTGAGATTAGGCAACCCTGCCTAACCCCACTGCTCGAATGGAACAATAGAGAGAGGTGGTTGTATGCCCTCACTCTGCCTGAGGTGTTTTTATACAGGGCTTTTAGGATGTTAATAAACTTCTCAGGCACACCCTTCTTCAATAGACAATCCCAGAGAACAGTCCTATCCAACGAATCGAAGGCAGCCCTGATGTCAAGAAACACTACGATTGTTGGCCTTTGAAAAGTATGGCGGTGTTCTAACATTTGGCGGAGGGTGAAGATATGATCAATACATCCTCGACCAGAACGAAACCCAGCCTGCTCCTCGCGAGTCAATCTTTCTCTGGTTTTGAACAACCTACGAAGTATGACGGAAGCCAATAGCTTGGACGCAATCGGAAGTAAACTTATCCCCCGATAGTTGTTACAAGAACGACGTGAACCCTTTTTAAAGATAGGGACAACTATCGACTCATTCCATGACGTTGGTAAACTCTCTAGTTCCCAAACCTTTGTAAACAACGTCGTCAATTCCTTAGTCAAAAAGTCACCACCATCTTTAAAAAGAGCCGGAGGTAAGTCATCTGGGCCAGGTGATTTGTAACGCTTCAAGAGTTGGAGTTCCTTGCGGACTTCCTCCTCATTTGGTGGATCAGTCGTCACCGGCCATGGAGGGCAGGACAGTCTGACCGATGTTGCCGGAGCAGCAGGCCAGTTGAACTGCCCTTCGAAAAATTCTGCCCATCGTCCAAGACGTCGATGGATGTTAGTGATTGGCATCCCATCATCCTCGCAGATTGTTTCACTCACACCAGACTTCTTGCTGCCAGTGGCTCGGATGAGTTGGAAGAGCTTCCGGTAGTTACCAGATGCAGCTGCTGCTTCCAGCTCATTAGCACGCATCGACCACCAGGCTTCCCGGTCCTTACGCAAGCTTTGCCCGATTTCCTTACGTAAAATCCTTCGTTTATGGTCAAACTCACGGTTACCCGGAGTAGACCGACGGGCTTCAATGAGTTGTAAGGAACCAGAAGAAACCCAGTGCTTAAAAGCGGGACGTTTCGCAAACCCACAACTGACTGTTCCCGCCATTTTCATGGCGTCATGCAATTGCAACCAATGCTCATCTATACTTTTCGGTGGAGTGGTAGCTAGCCTAGAGGCTAGCTCGGTTCGATACTTACTTGCAACAGAAGTTGCAACCAGCTTGCTAACATCAATCCGTTGATGGCGTTCACTTCGTTGTCCACTGAAAAGTAAGGCAAGATTGGCGCAGACCAAGGGATGGTCAGAGTCCAGATAGGTACTCCAAAAGGAGCGGCAGTCTTGTACACAACCACGCCAGCGGTAGCTGATCGCGATGTGATCAATCTGAGTCCAGGCTTGAAATGCAGAGGGAGGACGCCAGGTGGCACATCGGCGATGACTGTGCCGAAAGTTAGTGCTAGCCAGAAACAGGTTGTGGTCTGCGCAAAGTTGCAGTAGACGGTCCCCGTTATCTGACCTGCGACCAACGAGTCCCCATCGGCCACCTAAACGACTCTCTTCTGTGCCTAGACGCCCGACCTGAGCATTCAAGTCTCCGGCTAGTACTACAATATCTGTGGAACGCACTTTCTGGAGAAGAACAGATAACTGGTGGTAAAACTCATCCTTGATTGCATCCGGGCTGCAATCTGTCGGGGCATAGGCGGAGATGACGAAAAGACATCGTTTCTCACGCCGAATTCTTCTCACTTTGATGGAACTTTCTAATCTAACAGCACATAACCGACTGTTAATGGGGATCCAATCGACTAGTGCTGCCTCAGCTCTAGCGCTTAGTGCGACACCAACGCCAGCAAAACCAGACGAAGATGCCACAGGGTCCCCGGATAAGCGCACGTAAAACAAGCTTTTCGAAGCGACAGATGGAGATCGAATTTGTAGTACTTCGCCAGAGTCTTGAATACGGGTCTCGTATAGACAACACACGTCGATATTAAGACTTTCCAAAGACATGGCCAGCCCTATCTGTTGTCCGACCTGCATAAATGTGCGAACGTTGAAGGCAGCCAGTTTGAATGGTGCACGTGGTTTCAGAAAATCTGCTTCAGTCCTCGTATTCGGTGGTAACATACAATTTTCAACCGGACAGTGACTCGAGAACGTTTAGATACAGTCGGAATTCCACCAAAGACGAGCCGCTGTATAAGTATAAAAGAAGGTGAATAATGTGGAAAATAATAATAATAATGATAATAATAACAATAATGACAATAATAGTAGTAATAATAATATTAGTATTAATGATGACAATAATTGTAGTGATCATAATTTGAATCAATTGATTGTTTTTCAAAGCGACAAAGGTAATTTCCATGGACATAGAGTTCATCATTTGTGTGTGGGCTGTGATACTGCCCGGGTGCCCAAACCGAAGCAGGTGGTTATCTTAGGGGGCCACTCCCCGAGCCTTTGACCTAAAGGTCTAACCCACAAGGCAGTGGAGCATCGTAAGGAGATGCAGTCCCATGGTAGCCGGTGACCAACGATTGGTTCATACGCCATTCGTTCCCGCAGGATACTGGAGCCCATGTGCACCATTGATTTGGAATCCGGTTAAAGCGCCGGACATTCGCTTTTCGTCCTCTCATTTTCGTAAACAACACCCCCGCCACGAGAAGGCAATGAGTAGGACTTCCCTGGCAGAGGCTGTATACGCGTGGCCGTGTGAGAGTATTTCGAGAGGGAGAGCGGACTCTCCCCACTCTCGGCCGTACCAGGGCATTCAGGGGGTTTTCAAAATAAATTATTTATTTTGTAATTTTATTTTTTTTTTCAAAATAAAATTACAAAATTAAGGTATTTACCAAGTGAGTTCTGGGAATCTAACATCCCCAACACATTTTTAATTTACTTTAAAGATTTCACGTCGAATTTGCTGTCTAGAAGGATAGTATCTGTTGAAGAGAATATTAAAAATATTTATTTGCAAAACTATTTATCTAAAAATCTTTTATAAACATAGTTAATTATGTGATTTTTGAATATTTGACTTAATTTATTTTCTTATTAATTTAATTTAAAGACGCTTAGCACCAGTTCGTTTTCGACAAGATCCATTCTCCTTAACTGTTTTACTGGATGTGCGTGGTATTTTGCCTAAATCATTCATGATAAATTGGACTGATCCTCTGCATTTCAAATTACCCGATAATACTGATATGCCTGATTCATCTTCATCTCAGTTACTTTTACTAATCACCTTTTCAAGTTGTGGGTCCGGTGGGTTTACTATGGACTGGGGCATAGTATTACAATGTCCGTCCTCTTCCACAACCAACAAATATGAATATACACTTAACGGTATTACAGATTCATTTAACTCCTATGAAGCCAGTGAATCTTCCCTACGACCACAGATAATATCCTGTCATATTTCTCCAACAAATGGAGTTTTGGTTATTCGTAAACCTTCGTGTAACTGTGATAATCTGTCTATGAACAAGAAGTTATTTAGTGAAATGTTATCAAGTCGTGCTGTTTGGTGGACATCAGTTGCAACTGGGCGCACTTTAACAGCTGGTATGGAAGTGAGTTAAGCTACTGTTTTTGATAATAACCTCGTTATGATTGAAGATGCTAATTAATATCACGAGTCAAGGTCATCGATCAGAATTTTGATTAGAATTTCTTCGATCCCAAACACTCATTGGTTTATATACAGAAACAATTGAACTACGTTTCGCACTAGACAATTAATCATACTTTAAACACAACCATGCTGTAAGTGATAGAGAGCAAAACAAGCAGTACACATTTAATTAACAATAATTAATGAATAGTAAAATATATAACGATAGTTAATAGGTTCACTAAAAGCTTGGAATAAGGAGAACATAGAAGTGCAGTAATATAGGTGTTTGTTAGCTGTACAATAAAAATATAATAATCCTAAAAATAAATTCACTTTGTATTGTTTACTTGAATCTTCCCATTGATGTTTAGGACTACAATTTATCAGTATCTTATTGGCATATGTGCATACTGTGCGTATTGCCTTAATTCACAAGTATTCTAAGCAACGATGGATAGTGGCTACCAGTGGAATCCAGGACGCGCGTTTTGTCCTATTTGGGACTCGTCAGCGGAACACCCGTCTTGGATTCCACTGCTAGCCACTATTCATCTTTGCTTAAAATCCCAAGAATAGTTCTAAAAGTAATCACAAACATCATGGTTTGAAGATGTTATTTAAGGAGTATAATCCAGTGAAATAAATTTGGAAAGACAAAAACACTCTATTTATCTTAACAACCGTTTTTTAAATCATTAAACGCAAAACCGCAACATTTCCGTCAAACTTAAGATGTAATGACTTGGTGTACTTATGTCTTGAAACAATTCGTATAAATGTTATTTATTTATTTAAACACTTAAACATTGGTACAATGAGGCGCCAAATAGATATGCGCCACATAAATCATCCGATTTGTGTGAGGGCTGTGATACTGCCCGGGTGCCCAAACCAAAGCAGGTGGTTTTCTTAGGGGGCCACACCCGGAGCCTTTGATTTAAAGGTCTGACCCACAAGGCAGTGGAGCATCGTAAGGAGATGCAGTCCCATGGTAGCCGGTGACCAACGATTGGTTCATACGCCATTTGTTTCCTCAGGATACTGGAGTCCACGTGCGCTATTTGTTATAACTTGTGACCACCGATTAGAGAGCAGTGAATTATCGATTGGACCAAGGACGCGTAAACACGTACGAGCAACCTAGAGTCCTGATTGGTCCTGCCTTCCGCCTAGCCCAGCTAGTTAAGTCCAGAGCAGCAATCTCAGCCTCTGCGATATGAATCATTATATTTCAAACATACTGAGTTTATATACCAATCAAACAGACCACAACGTACCAATAAAATATGAAACAACATTTGTAAAAGGATTAGCCAGATGTGGCTGTGAATGAGGGAGGTAGTAATTAATATGCTGGGTATAACTCAAGAATGGTGACACGTATAATAATAGTTTATGGGTCAAAATAAAGCTTATAGTAAGAGGAATATGAATATGCATAGTTTAGTTGCTTAATAATTATACAGTAAAAATATACGTTTAGTATTGGTCCATCAATAGATCCCAAAAGTTACCACTCATTATTCTTATCGGAGTATAACAGTTTTCCAACTCGCCTAGGTGGACTTTCCGTGTCCCCCAACCCGGTTAAATCGCCGGACATTCGCTTTTCGTCCTTTCAATTTTGTAAACAATATCCCCGCCACAAGAAGGCAATGAGTAGGACTTCCCTGGCAGAGGCTATACACGCGTGGCCATGTAAAAGCATTTCGAGAGAGAGAGCTGACTCTCCCCACTCTCGGCCGTACCAGGGCATTTGGGGGCCTACATTAAGTGGCTTACATTAATTCACGAAACATCAGAAATACAATTTCTCTACTCATCAACCTATATCAGTTTATTAAAAATAATGTTTATTTTAGAAAAATACTTTGGTATAAGCTTTACTTCATAACATGTTGATGTATGTACATAGTTATGTTATACATAGTTAACTGTCCAGGTAATGATTGTGATTCGGTTTAGAATGCTAAATTGAAATGATCTTATGAGTCGAAATCATGTAAAATTAATTCTGATCAACCATATATGAAGAAAGTAGGATGGGAACATCTTCAATCCCATACTAACTGCATTACTTGACTTGGAAGTTAACTGTCATTTCTCATCGATTTCTTAAGTATGTTTACAGCAAGTATTTTGCATTTATTAAACCTTATACAAATGTATCATTGGTTCTAAGGGCATAAAAGAGTTCTCCAACACTCTGTATTTCATTTAACTGTATCAAAATTGAACTACTTGGTACCTATCACTCTTATTAATAACTTAAAATGCACCGAGGATTTGATTTTGATAGGTTGAAATTTTAATTTTTTTAAACTCATTGATTTGAGATTTGAAAGAATTCCACTTCATAATTTACAATAATCTGTATTTAAACTTCATTATTATCGTTGGTATTCTGTGTTTTTCTACATAATTAGGAGTGTTCATTTATTGGAATGGAAGCGTTCACACCACATTATAGACAAAATAATTTTCTACTTACCGATGTTAATGAAACTTCTGATAACTGTTATCGTGATGGTGTTTTCTCCTCTACTCAACTGACCAATGAAGTATCTTCAATCAATAATAGTTTATCCTCTGAACCATCAGTCAATAATCGGTTACTTCATAAAAGTTGTACATTGAATCAACAAAGTTTAAAGTCTGTAAATGTCACCTCATTGTCAGATAAATGTTGTTCCATAGAATGGGATCCTACTGTTGAATTTATAGGTTCGAAAACCGACTTAAACTGTAACCTTATGAAAATAAATGACTCTTGCTTTATATCTAATCATCAGTCAAATTTAATAAATCAACATATAACTAACGAGAATAATAATGATAATTACATTGTCAGACGTCTCAGGTGTAATTCAACTCCGGGTAATCCAGGTCAGACTGGACCAGTATTAAAGAGTATTTTGAAACAACGTTCAATATCAGGTAAATAACATAACTTAGTTTTATACTCTTATTGTGGTATTGTTGTTTGATGTGTTTATTATTTGCAGCTTATCTTGTGAATTCCAACTGTATGCTTATTGATAGTCACGAATATTTGATCAAATTTTAACGGATTTAAAATGGCTTGTCTTAATGTTAAACTTTTGGACTCCTTTGTTTGAATCATATTTAGAGTTTTATTCAATTCAGTTATCATTTTCATCATGAACTTACATCAACCGAATGATCATTGGAAACTAACGAATACTAAGCGTTTGTGTCATCGTTTTCACATTGTACACCCATAAAGTCACATTAGATCAAACTAAAGACTTTCATATTTCACAGTAAGCATGTTATTTTCAGATTATTTAGTCAAGATTCAACATTTGACACTTCCTAATTCGTAATGCAGTCATGGTGTTGTTGAATATTGACTACCAAAATCCATACGATCATTTCCACTGAATGTTCATAAAATAAAACTATTATTTAAAGTAACCATTAAGAAACAATTTCGTGGTTTTCCAATATTGCGTAATAATATCTATACTATTTATTTATTTAAACACATAAACATTGGTACAAGGAGGCACCAAGTAGATATGCGCCACATAAATCATTCGGTTTATGCCCGGGTGCCCGAACCGAAGTAGGTAATTTTCTTAGGGAGCCACATCCGGAGCTTTTGACCTAAAGGTCTAATCCACAAGGCAGTGGAGCAACGTCAGTGGATGCAGTCCCACGGGAGCCGGTGACCAACAATAGGTTCATGCGCCATTTGTTTCCTCAGGATCCTGGAGCCTATGTGCACCATTTGTTTGGAATCAGGGTTTTCCGTCTCCCCTAGGTGGATCCTGCCTATCCACCAACCCAGTTAAAGCACCGGACATTCACTTTTCATAAACAACACCCTGCCTCGAGAAGGCAGTGAGTGGGACTTCCCTGGCAGTGGCTGTATGCGTATGACCAGCTAACTCTCCCCGCCCTCGGTCATACCAAAGCATTTGGGTGCTCCATACACACAGAGATTTAACATTAAAATTGATTCTAAAAGACCATATATCAGTCTAAAGTATCACATTATAGATGATTGTATCCAACGCACACAAATTGGCCAAGTTAACAACAAATGCATGGAAATAATGTAAAATAAAATGTCAAAAAACGCTGTTACTTCAGAAAATAAACTTAATAAAATACTATTACTTTTAGAGTTTGAAGACGGATAAAACAAGTCGGTACACCTGTAATCGATTCAACACTATTATCATTGTATATTCTATGCCTATATTGAGACTAGCCCCATTTTGTATCTAAGGTATGTTCACTAGATCTTACAACGTATATAGGAAGTTGGCACTCATTACACATTTTAAATAGTATTGTAGCAGCTTCAAGAGTTTTGTTTGTTATTTATCACAATAAGATTATTGGTTTATAACATTTGAGTCAACTAGATGTCATTTAGTATTTATAAGTTTAAAGATGTGAGCACTGATTTAGAGACCTGTGATAAATTATATTAGTTGTATGATACTTATTCACTATTGTTAAAACCGTATACTGGTTGCTTAAAAGTACAGTTTTGCTACTTCACTTTTAATAATAATAAAATCTTATTACTTTTAAAATATGATTCATGTCACCATTTTTGTTTTTACGTGTTTTATATCTTCATTTATTTACTGTTTAGAATCTAGCGGAGATGAAATGACTATTTTAGAAGGTAATATTTTACGTGATGCCGGTCTGGCTAGTAATAGAGAGCATCCTTTAACATCGGATGAATTTCCTACCGCAAGCAGTGATGAAAATCACGATTCAGTACTATCAAAATCTGATTTTCGACGATGTATATCTAGTGATAAATTATCAGGGACAATAAGTCAATGTTATCCTCATTTGCCTATATGTAGACAACGAGTAAGATCAGTGAGTTTCTGTCAACGTGATCAACATGTAGATTTCTCACCTAGGGATACAGTAGAAACACTGCATCATACATTGTGCAATTTGCGGTAAGTATAATGTTGTCGTGAATTTTAATTATTATTCGTTGTTTGGCTGTAACCAAAGTTTATTAGTAAACTGATTACTGTTTTGCTTGGAGACATCCTAGGAGTTTAGAGACTACCGTGAATCATTGAGTCGAAGTTTTGAACTTACTCTATTTGTTTCTTGCTGAGTGACAGGGTAATTTCAGTAAACGTCAAACGATAACTGTGACCATCTGCTTGTTACAACCACTTGAATCAAATTAATAAGTTTGCGGGGGGTATTTCAGAGGTTCAGTCAGTCTAATCTCAACCATTAGCTTTATGACTCCAGTTATTCTCTTGTTCAATATGGTGCGAGTTTTCAGATTTCGCTAATAGTCATTACGGAATACACTTTTATGAACCCAAAATCAGATATTGTTTAATGTTGTTAGGATACTATCCTGAAATGTAACAGAAATTGTAGCACTAATTTATTTACCACAAGAGTGGTTGAATAAAAATGTTTAATAAAACTTATGAAAAAAGGGTATTTATACTCGGATTCGGTTCAGTTGTTTATTATTGGATTCATCTGATCCGGCATACACTTTTTGCTAACTGTCCATGCGTCCATTCTTATTTTTTAGTGTTTTTTGTTTTCTGTACTACAATTCTGAGCAATAATGTGTAGCATATAACTTTTCCTCATTAACCTGACCGTAGCTGCTATCTTGACGCAGTGGTCGGGCTTGCCTATCGTGCTGACCCAACCGAGCTATATTGGCTGGAACACATGTTCCTGTATGTTCTACCATGCTAGGCAGGTCGATTGGAGGACGGTGAGACTAAAAGCAGCAACTCAAGATCTAAGGGCGAAGTCGTACTGCTGACTGTAGAGGGGTGTGACAGCAATGAGGTGTTTCGCTTGGATAACCAGCATCTGCAGCAATGCTGCCTTCTCACAAGGAAGGAAGGAGTTAGAAAAGTTCGACCCTAAAAATGTCACACCCCACTTTACCTCACGGATTTCCGTCTCCAGCGGTAAGGCCCTTTGAAGAACGGAGGTAACAGGTTAAACACTTCCCACAAAAAGGCTGTGTGCGTCCAGTCTCAAGCAGTTGTCCCTTGGGCTCTGTGGTCACGCTCCCAGGTCATTAAGACCAACACTAATCTGACTTCACTTTCAACGTCCTCAAGAAATACCCTACCACAGTGTGGGCAGCTGGTAATCGACATCAGCCCTCATACCCGTAGCAGGACACGATACCAAGTTGGTCATAATCAAATTCTTCCTACACATCTTAATAACTCTCTTATCTCCACGACTAGCCCTTCTCACGTTCCTTTATCACCTCGCGCCGCTATTGCAAACAATTCGAGTACGTGGGACGTTATTCCCGGTCTCCTGAAATTATGCTCCAAACTTCATGTAGGAGCTTTTAACGTCCGAACACTGTGCCAAATTGGACGGTAGGTTTCCTTAGCTAGGACTTTAGAATCTCGCGTCATTGATGTGTGTTGCGTCTCCGAAACGCACATACAGGATCCGAGTAGTGTCATTTATCTGACCTCACCACATCAAAATAAAGTGCCATATCGATTCACGCCTCGTGTATCCAGAATTCCTGATGCTGCTTCTACTCAAATACAACTGGTCGAGTGAAAGCTTATAGCGAACTATCGTCAGAATTGATTACATTAAATGGTGTTCGTCAGAGCTCTCCATTCTTGTTTAACTTTGTCGTTGATGTGCTTTTAAAGATGACACTTTCCTCATCTAAATTTCCAGGGGTCGAACTTCTACTGGTAGATTCACTTGTTGACTTAGAATATGCTGATGACATAGTTCTATTTGGTGAAGACGCTGACAAAATGCAGAGTCTTCTGACCGCTCTAAGCAACAATGCAAGCATGTTCGGGATGCGATTCTTCCCCTCAAAATGCAAAATTTTACTTCAGGATTGGGTTGCAATTATAGGGAGTGAAGTAGTTTAGCGTGTCGACTGCTTCACTTATCTTGGAAGTTTCATCAGACTTTGTTGTCTGGTATGTGACGAAATCTCAGCACGAATACAGGAGGCTCAACAAGCTTTTGCCAACTCGCATCATTTGTGGCGTATGCGAGGTATCCGTTTACCAACCAAAGGACGTGTTTACTGCGCAGCAGTTCGTTCGTCCTACTTTATGGCAGTGAAACATGGCCGATAAGAGTAGAAGATATTCATAGGTTACTAATTCTCGTCTCTTCCTCGGTCGGATAAGACTAAACAAACGGTTTTACTGATTTTCCTCATCCTTTGTTCGTTTTCCTTCACCTCCTTTTGTATGTATTCTCCACTGTCAGATCTCCCGCTCAAATAACACGACTTCAATGATTGTTTCTGTAATGCCTATTCTCTCATTTTCTGACGCACGTCTTGTATTGAAACCTTGGTTGAAAGTTTTGCCATTTCTGTCACTTCCAGTATGTCTGTCATCTTACTGTCAGTTCGTATTTTCTGCTTTCTGTAATTAGTTATGTAATCTATTTGATTGTTATCATTGACCCATAAACTGATTTGATTGCTTTTGGTAGTTTTCATATATGGAGGTAGATATTATTGTATTTTAAGGTAAAGTCCGATATGACAGTCTAATTGAAAGCAATAATGTTCACTTATATATCTTGTGATGGTTTTCACGATCGGAACTTCTAACATTTATAATGTGTTCGTACTTTAAAAGATCATTCGTTGTGGAGGATGTTACTTTTTTTATCGATAATTCGTTTCACAGGAAAAATCTCCGCAAACGTGATGCTCGCCGTCATCGTGCAAGTGGTGGGAATTCAAAACAATCGGAAAATGGCAAAAACGCGCCTTCTAAAACGAGAGTTGATATTAATACTCCTACACTTAGTACATACATATCTTCAAACGGTTCATTGTCTTCGTCGATTGAAGTTGACCATTGCAGCAAGAATTCCAGTAAGTTTATTCGACCATATAGTGGTCAAAAATATTTCGACAGCTTCCTACACAGCATTTTAATTAATAACTCTTCATACTCTCACAGTTATACTTATTCTATTCCTCCGACAGGTTGCTTGGTTTCGGAACAAAACAATCCTAATTCAACTGAATCTATTCGTACAAGTACATTTCACGATTCCTTCACTCTTCATGAATCAAAAACTAATATCCCTGTACATTCTCGTTCTGATTCTGATAGTGAGAACTTACCTATTTTACATTCCGAATCCAACCACTCGCAGTCATCAAGTTCCAAAGTTATTTCAAAATGTGATGAGAAAACTTCCGAAACTGTTCCCCAAAACCCTGAAACTATCGATGCTGATGGTATAACAAATAGTAACTTTTCAGCTGTTCACTTAACTGCATCACCAATTTTAGAGTTAGATGAAGAATGAATTTTTTTGTGTAAACTCTTTGAATTCATTTCTTAAATAACGCATTTGGGTTAATTTAATAGGATTGAGTTTGACTCATATATATTAAGAACCCTTTAAGCGTTATTTCATATTGTCTTCGTGGGCGTTTGTTTATTGTATGCACTTTATCTACCCTGAATTTTTACAGTCTTATTCTTTATGCATGTTTACATCTACCGAAGTGCTAACTTTTGACATGTAGTGAAAATCATCCACCAAACATTTTCTGTCGTGTGGAAGTATTATTAAAGAGAAGAAAATTTGTCGCAAAATGTGAATCTCATTGAAAGAAGCCGATAAAGGTTGGGCTTTATACTTCATGATGGTGCCTTAAACTAGAACAATTTATTGCCGAACTGGGTTTACATCTCTTCAACATCGGTGGATCAAACTGAGTTGCTCTGATCGCTCAAGAGTTGGGGCCAGACCACTAGGATTGTCAGAGTCTATCGCGGACTTTAAAAAGTTGATGTTTCAAAACGGCTCCACTGTCTAGATTAGTTAGTCGTACCTCTGTTCCTGATAGAATAATCAAGTCAAGATATCAGCCATTGTTAATATAAAGGACAAGTTGACTGTTTTAGACTTGCGTTCAATGAAGTTTCCTATGAAATTCAACTTGTGATCAAAGAACACGCTAAACATCAGTGGCAGAGGTGCCTAGTCTCGGCATTTTTGCACCTCGCATAACTAACTTCCAGGAGTCGATAATTGTCCGGACTCTAAGCATGGTTTAAGGTTTAATATCACCTCGCTACATGCAGAAGTATCTCCGTTCACAGCGTAACGTACTAATACTGTGCACAAAGCGTGTTTAAGTACATCCGATTTATAACGGACGATGGTAGAGGGTTTCGTGAGTAGGAAAGCAAATTCGAGAGAACAATGCAAGCGCGAACATCTATACTGATAATAGTTGTGGAGAGCTTCGGTTGAGGAAGTGTGGCTAAAATAATGTGACTTATAACATTCACTTGGTATGCGAGTGACAGAAGGCTTACCTAGGGTCGGACAGTGTTGCCAGGTCTGTCTTTTAGGATACTTTAAAGTTCGACTATGGTGGCGGACTGTCTAGACCAACCATTCCTCTCTGTTTAAAATACGAGTGAGAGACTCACTGGTGATGATTCCCAGCTGAATGTTTTGTGAGTTGACCTTATTTTAGTTTTTCATGTGTCAGTCATCTCACTCCTTGTTTCCTGTATACCCATGTTTAAGACCCCGCGAAGTCCTGAACCTTCTTTTTGAGAAATAAGCTGATGTTCTGTGTCATTCAATCACGAGTATGCTTATTCTCAGCATATTTCATATCGAAAATGTGAAGAGAGAAAAAGGTAGTCTCGATGGCGATAAAAGATTCTGACAGTAAGTATGGAAAATTTGTGCCCATACTGATAACTTAACCTTCCCTACAACAATGGAGAAACATTGCTACTCTCACTTTAGACTATTTAAAGTTGCTACAGATATTCGGGTTCTGACACCTTCATAAACCAAGGATACCATATCAGTGAAGTCAGAAATGTGTGTTCGAAGATATATTAGGAAGGTTTTTGATATGTTGGAAATCGTTTAATCTAAACAGGCTAGTAGTCGCATGGATTACTTAATACGGTTCATTCACTCGCGATCTGATGCGAATATAAGCGAGCATTTTCTACTAGGCCATCTTTAATGTTAAAGATTTACTGCTAAAGCTGAAGAGAGCATTGGTCCGTATCACTTGGCTTACATGTATAAAAGAAATACTTCGAATGCTGTTGTCATCCTGTATCGTAATATACTGTTCAATTTAGGAAACTGTAGGGAGTATGTTTGATGCGCGTTGCCCCGAGTGACTGGAAATACACGGTGGTTCAAAAGATGAATGCTAGCCCTGCAAAAGCGCCTGTTTATTTGGTAGTCCATTGTTAGTCTACCATTTTAAATTGAAGAATACTCTGTCAGAGCTTCTAAGTAAGACTAGGCTAAACACTTAGTTGGTTTTCGAGTACACAGGTCTTACAAGCGAATTATATCAAGGCCTGTATAAATCGTAGTCTAAGAGACAAATCCCATAAACTGAGAGTATCGACGGACGAATTCAAGCCACCCATCATATCTGTGGCCTAGATTTGGTTAGTCTAAAACTCGGGCGTAACACCAGAATTGTTGGTGTACAGTCATATAAGAACTGATAGAAATGGAGGGAGGAAGTGTGGCAGGTTCTTTGCCTGCGTAACTAATGAAGTAAAAGTCCATACCTTTGTGAATATCATAATGTAACTTCTGAAGTCAGCAACTGTAAACCCGGATTTGAATGTTGTACATTTATATTTGATGTCATCCATGGTAGACCGACCTGATCATCTGATGACTTTATTTTGGATCACAATCAGACATAAATTAAAATGGTCAGTAAATGCTAGCTCATAATTTGGAGATGCATGATCCAAATTTCCGGGTAACCTTAACCTAGTAATGTCCCTATTTCTGCCGTGCATAGTACAACGTAGATCAAACAACCGTCCACCATGTATAAGCGAACATGTAAAGAAACTCCTAACACATATGAAGAGGCATCAGTGTATGTTTATCTCTACAGGCTCTAAACAGTACAGATCCATTTATTGTAACACCACCAAGCAAAGCGTTGATAAGTAAGGCTAAACTTTGGTATAAAAAACATTTTGATAGAGATTGCAAAAAAGTTTGAAAAGGATGTTCACTTACATGAAAAGTTGAAACTGAAGAAGAGTTGGGGCCTCGCTGTTATGACCGATGCTCTCTCATTTATCACGTGACTAAATCGTGAATCAGAATACCGATATGTATGAATTTACGCCTTTGCTATGCCAATTACAGGTTAACCAGCACCAGTAACCTCGAGTCAATTCTGAATCCCTATTGGTTCTAGGAAATAGTGGCCTCTCATCTAACCCAGCCCGTTCAGTTAAGAACACAATATCCGCTTCCACGGTATGAATTACATATTTCAGACATACGTGGTGTATATACATACAGACCAGAACGCATCACACCATAAAATGCAGTATAATGATTATACAAGATCAAGCCAATAGTGGTGGAATATGGGAGATTGAAGCTAAAACAATTTGGAATAAGCTAAAAATGGTATGCCTTATAACGTAGCCAGTAGATCAAATGAAAACTTATGATAAAAAATATAAATATATACAATCTAGTTACTCAATCCTTATACAATAAAATTCGGTATATAATAACAGTCTATATATGGTTCCCCGATGTTTTAATTTTTAAGGTAACGAACCTTGTTTTTGGTAAATGAAAGTCCCTTGACATTGTGAAGAAGCGATGTTACCAGGTATGAAGACTTGTCAAAATATTTTGGTAACGTGTTTCCTACTGAATATTGTGCGTACCAACAATTAGTTCTAACGAGTGCGGCATGTTGACGGATCTTGTATTTTTTAGAAGGAAGCTGTCGCGTGAATACTTCGACAATTAAACCAGATAATTCCACGGGTCCTTAAGATATTTATCCCAGCATCATCAAAGCCCTGTCGGTTGTAATTGTTGAGCGTTTGTAATGGTATTTGAATTACTTACTGAATTCACTAAGTAAACCTACCTGCGGTTGCTTAGCGTTATCTCCGTCCCTCGTAACCCTAAATTATTTGAATAATGTCTAACCTGAACAATATATCACTGAGTCACATGACTCATGCATTATGGTAGACCTGGTTGACATATTTTAGTAATAATTGCTTTGTTGTTCCGTGCTTTCTTTTTTTCTCTTGTTGTAGATGATTATATTTAATTCATTATGACACAAGAAATGACCTCAAGTGCATCTTTTACAAACAGACAGGATGTTCACTTAAGAAGAATGAAAAGTTCCCGGCGGATGAATTGCATTGCTGTAATACACGTCATCAATATACTATCTAAACAATTTTTGAACTAGTAAACTTTAGTCAATCTAATATCATAAGTTTGTCCTTTACATTTGGTGTTACTATTTATATGAGGCTGATCATGCCTATAAACTGGCGTGAATTCTGTGGCTATTATTTTTTGAATATATTATTATTATTGATATTGTCTTTTGTGCAGTCTAAACTGTCAAGAGACTAGAAGAACGCACTTATCTGTTTGGTTTATGTAGTGGGGAGTTAAGACTTAGTTTGTTATAATCGACCTATAAGACTTACCGTTGTATTTAACAAACTAATGCGGTAATATTATTCATATGGCTGTTGCGAACCATGTGGAAGGGAATAATGTTTAAAAAGGGGAAAAACATAGTTTCAGTGAAGGTTATTTGTGCTTTATTATTCTCCTCATTGCAAGAGAGGTTGGGAATGTAGATGAGGATAGCAGTGCTCAAATACATGTGTTTTCCATAGATCTAAGCAAGAAGTTGGAGCATTAGCTGTGTAGCGGTAAATAAATCCCCAAAATAAATAGCTCTGTAAGTTTTCGACATTGGATGCTGACCATATGTTTTAGTGGACTCATCTAGCTGAAGGCGCTCGGTCAGGCATCCGCACGAGATCACGTGTGGTAACGCCGTGCTCAACATCAACCGCAATCGCTAGCCAGATTAGATCAGAGAATTCCGATATATTGGTCATCGCCAAATATACTCTTCCGATCTCCTCGACTCTGTCTTTTGATTTCTCTGGGTGGGAACGAAATACATTAGAAAATGTCACTGGTAGAAGCGTTTTCAAACACTGAATATCTGTGACATCATCATTGGTGAAACCGACGTGATCTGGTACACCTAATTGCAACTGTGAGTCTGTTCCTTTTTGGGATTTTTATATATCATTGCCTTATTTTTTTATTTTTTAAACATTGTGATTTTTTTCGTGTTTTTTCTTGGATATATATATATTTTCCCCTCGTTCATTATCGTACTTCATACTTCATCATGACTGAACAGACACCTAAAGTACTCAAGCTTAAGACTTTGTCCCCGCCTTCGTTTCAACTGATGCCTTTCTGGCCCGACAACAT